TAATAAATGAATTAGTTATAATCAGTAGGATTATGACAAAATTGCCTTCAGGTTTTGCAATCTTATGTAATATATTTGTATTTCTTAGGTTTTGCAGACACTGTTTTATGCTGTCTCCTTTTTGACGGATCTCCTGCTTCCAATAAGGGGAATTAAATTAGTAAAGTTCGTCATCTATTGCAGAGACCTTCTCTTCTCTGTTCTGGCTTTCCCAGCATCAACTGTAAGTTTAAATCTTATAAAGTGTAAAGTGTTCTCCTGGTGGGATTAGCATCAGTGTCAATCAAAATGCAGTCAACTGAGCTTGTGTATTGATATCTTAATTTGTCTTATCGGTCAAAATCAATAAGAAAAGTTACTGCTGAGATTTCTTTCCTCATAACAGGATTGATGGAAGATTGATTTGTGGCAAACACATGGTAAACCGGCCACAGACTGCATAGCAGTGCGTGTAGCTCTGGTCCTAAGTCAACTCAATTCATCAACTGAAAGTACATTTACCTGGAGGCACCTGCATACAGTCTAGGGGCCAGTTTACTATCATGGAAGATTCCATAAGGCTTGCTTCAAAGATATAGTTTGTATATTCTGATAAAATGTCCAAAAGACAACTATGCTGTTTTACAGCCTTTGTATTCAATTATTTATCTAGTCTTTCCGAATAGAATATTTTTTTAGTCAACAGGAAGTGGTTATGACAATGATTTGCAAGTACCTTGAGACAAGATATTTTGCTCACCATAGGCAGGCATCTTTCTTGATTAAACCTAGCTCTGCTTTCACACATATTGAAGCATTGAATTTTTAAAAAGTAATTTAAATTATTTATATCTCTCCAGTGCCCCCACCTATCCACAGAAATGGGCACCATTCATCAATACCAAGCCAACAGGAAAATGCACTATTGCCAATAGCAACCATGAAAAATCCTTGTTTAATTTCAAACTTGGATGGCAGGCGTGATAGTGAAAGCTGATTAATAGGTGTTGGAAGTTTTCCTGTTAGCAGACTGTTTTACATAAACTCCATTATTTGGCCACCTAATAAACATAGACTTGTATCTTAGGGGTCTATTCACGAAGCTGCCGAGGGCAGCCGAGTGAATGACCGATCTGAAGTGAAGTGAGCCGAACACTGTTTGGCTATTTTAGATATATAGATACAGATATATGTTTTGTGTGTGTTTATATATACAGTATTTAACTTTTTGTTATCCATTATCCATTTATATATATAACACACATATACAGGCGCAAAACAAACTGTAATTTGCCTACCATATTCACATATGCAATGATTATTAGTATTAATTTATGGACCTTCAGCATAATCTGTAGAGCTTTACAAAATAAAGGATCATTTACTTCATAGATTGTGGTAGAAGAGCTTCAATTACCAAACCATAGTTACACTCAAACATTATTATTATGCAGGATTTATATAGCGCCAACAGTTTGCGCAGCGCTTATGTAGCTGACATGTTTTAGCCACCACCACACATGCCTTCTCCAATATGCTGCCCAATGCACCCATCCATGGGTGATAGTATTGCAATAGTATTGGCCATGGCTACTTTACATTATCAGGGTTATTCACTAAAGGGTGAAGAGTTTGGAGAAGGCAGGAGAAGTGAGCAATCTAGGACAATATAGCTGATTGGGAAAAATTCTCCAATTCAGCTCACTTTCCAGTTCAGCTATGTTGTCGTAGAATCTTGTTCACTTCTCCTGCCTTCTCCAAACTCTTCACCCTTTTCTGAATAACCCTGTATATCTGCCTTGGGTCCCATTCATGCTTTTCATGTAATTACAGGAATTTAGGATGCATTTTGTATGCCGTATTATTCCTCCCTATAGAAGATGCATTTGCTGAGAAGCTGAAATATAACACAACATTTTACTTTTTAAAATATAAACCAAACCTCTGATAAGCTCTGGCCATAAGTAAACTGTCAGTGTCCACGTTTCTACAAGTGCACAGAGAATTGTTAGAACATCTTTTAAATATAACTGTCAATGTTAAAGCTGTCGGCGTTTGTCACTTGGAATTTTTTATGTAGGACTTTTATTGTCAGTTTATCTGTAATTAATTCTATCTATGCCAGGTTACATTTTTGGTAAGTTAGTATTAATTTCAGTGCAAGTTTCTCAGTGTCAATGTAAGGCTATATAAAGATTTATAAATAAAAGAATGTGTGTGATTCCATGGATGTGGAATCTTTGTACAGTAACATCCCCCATAAAAATGGTACTGAGGCCTGCACCAAATTCCTTTCCTCCCATAATGTCAGACATAATTATGATAGTGAAACCATTACCAAACTCATTGAATTTATACTGACACACAACTACTTCAATTTCAATGACAACATCTATTTACAAATGACAGGGACTGCTATGGGCACAAAAATGTCACCACAATATGCCAATCTCTTCTTGGCTGACCTAGAATACAGATTCCTAGCCACTCACCCTCACAAACCATTCAAAGATTATCGTTATATTGATGATATTTTCGTAACATGGACAGAAGGAGAAGAAAGCCTTTTAAACTTCCATGAATCATTCAATGCATTCCATCCATCCATCAAACTCAAAATGAATTTCTCAGTACACAGTGTGTTTTTTCTGGATTGTGCCATAACAGTCGGCAATGGCTCACTCAGTTCTTCTGTGTACAGAAAACCCACAGACAGGTACAGCTACCTCCATAATTCCAGCTTCCATCCTAATCACACTAAACAGGGTGTCATCTACAGCCAAGCTATTTGCTCTGAAAAGACTATTTGTAAAAAAATTAATTCTGCCCTAAGAACACCACGGGAAAGACTGCTACAGTACAAAGAGAAGAAAAACCCAACCAGGACCCCTCTTGTAGTTACCTACAACCCCACTCTAGAGGTAATACGCAAAATCATCAAAGACCTACAGACAGTACTCTCAGAAGACCCCATAATTAAAGAAATATTCCCTTGAGAGAGAGAGAGAGAGAGAGAGAGAGAGAGAGAGAGTATTTTTAATTATTTCTAAATATTATTAAAACATATTTGTGGACTAAGGCTTACCATAAAATATAATGATATGAAAGGTCACCTCAGTAATGCTAAACATGTATTGACAAACATAGAAACACAAGAACTATGGCTTCATACATTTATAATAACATAAAACTCTGTGGTATTTGATAATACACTGATGTTTCGCAGATGCAGTTCACAGTACCATATATCTTTAGCTGAGCCTAATCCGACATTGATTCTGGCAAACTCATGTTCTTGAGGCTGTAATAGCACTGTAATTGCACAGGAGCAATCAATAATTGTGCACTGACTCTTTATTAATTTTTAGCCCAATATGTGACATTGAATAACACTCACTTTTGCCCATTTTCAAAGCTCATAAATTGTTTCATATTGTGAAAGCTGAGAGTATTAACTGTCGGTCTCACCCTGTATTCTCTTTTGATTGCAGTTTGTGTTTTTATCCTTCTGGGCGTTGTATACATATGACAGGCAGTTGGTCTACCCTGAGGGTCTGGATAAAGTCATTCCACTATGGCTGAACCACGCTGTGGTAAGTTAGTTGAAAGCTGGAAGAAAGCTTTGCAGCATGCAATTGTTTTATCCCATTCCCTACCAGGGAAATCTTACATTGAATCACAGTGGAATGAGTAGATGTTCAACTAATGCTCTATAATGTAAGGAGTTAGGGCTAGTCACAGAAAACCAGGTACTTGTTCTTGCAGTGGCATTTTTCGCTTTTAAGGCATTCAACTGTCTAGGGTTGTCAGTGGTAAACATATGATACTACACATATACATTTCGTAATGATTTCTTATTATTGGTAAAATTACAAAACTGTTCTACAAAGACTAGATAAGCTTAAGAATACCAAAACCCAAAAGCAAAAATTCAATATTGCAGCTTTCCAATTCTTCAGTGTGGGGTCTACATTAGTTTTATTTTGTTCATTTTTCCCCCCTTTATTTTCACCTAGTGATTCAGTCAGTAACACACTTCCTGTCTTAGGGTGACTCCATCCTTTGCAGCAATAGAGCCAACCTTGAACAGCAGCCTTGTCACCATGTAGAGAGGTTAGTATTAGATGGACTAGTAGATTTATATGGACTACACTAACAAAATAAATCTGAACTCCAGCTAACTATTTTAACAAACGTCTTTAACGCAGGCTCATACAAAGCTCTACCTCTCTATCTATATTCTGTGTGCAGAAAAGCATATGTAATGGAATCGTTTCAGTTTAAACAGTGATTGTACTGAGGTTATATCTGCTTGGCTTCCACTGATTGGACTGTATGTATATTTTGTAGGCACAAGAACTGTAGCATATGTGTAGTGTGCATATAGTTAACTATGCCCCTCCCACTGTCTCCACAGTGTGGTCGCCAACAGTGCATGTGTGCATTGGAGCAGCATTGGACTTAAAGGAGAACTTTGAGGTGAGTGAAAATCACTCAGCCTCATAGTTCGAGCCGACGTGTGACAATGAAATCGTCACACGTCGACTCAATAGATCGGGAAGTGAGCGAACACATAACGTCACATGCTTACTTCTCGATCATCTCCCTGCAGAGAGCCGTGACTGTCACTCACGGCTCCCTACAGGATTCCTCACTCCCCGCTCCATACTCCAGCGCTGACTGGAGGAACGGAAGGGGAGGGGGTGGGTACAGCTGGCTCTGCCTCTAGATAGGCAGAGCTAGCTGTCACTCACGCAGCTGGGTGGATCTCTACAGTAATGTCGGGATTCGTCCCGGCTGTGGCGGTCTCAGTATACCACGAGCTGTAGCGGTTTGGGTCACGGGAGGACGCTAGTTTATGTCCTCCCGTGACCCTTAAGAGAACTATGGGGAAAAACACTTAACCCACAGTTCTCTTTGAAGAACAGCTGTGGGGACAGGAAGTAAGCTGAAATCTCTTTAATGGGGAATTGGCAAACAAAAAAAACCTGAAAGAGAATTACCTATTCCCTACTTTATCCAAAACTGAAAAAATATGTTGGCTTTACATACACTTTAAATAAGCCAATAAAGGATGTTACTTAAGCTCCAAATTTTCTGCATGGATCAATGGATAACACAGTACAACAATCTTGTATTTCAGGAAAGAATGAAACTCTTTTCTCACATGGGGAAGCTGTTGAAAGATTTAGATCCCTCAGGGGAGTTACCTTCCACATGAGTACAGAGAACTATTTGAAGTCTTAGTCTCTAGTGATATGCCATGTGAGGTAGATTTGTTGCTAGGAGATATGCTAGGAGATATGGTATCATATATATTCAAAGAAGTGATAGGTATCTATAGCAGTTCCTCCTCTAAGTTTCTTTCAGGAGTGCAGGTCACGGTTCAGTGCTTAGTATTCAAACAGTACTCTGCTATCCTGTACAATTAGCTGAAAGCTGTTCCCCTCTGTATGCAGACATAAAATAGATCTCCAGGAAAGGACTGCAGTAAATAATGCTACAAAATTGTTGTATTCACATAATATAGCAATTAGCAAAACTCCATCAGCCCATTACTACTTTTAAATTACCACATATTGCTCAAAGAAAACCAGACCCTTCAATGGACTTAGCACCATCCTAAAGTCCAACAACTTAATAATCCTTTATAAATGTTCCCCAGGTGTGGTTAAAAAAATAAAACAAGAACTGTCACCTTCAGTATTTATTTTTGGACAAAGGGTTTTCTTAGTCTGATGCATGCAGGAGTTTGTGAGCATGCAGTACCCCCTGGCAGAACACACCAAATATCATCCTGCACCAGAGGGCCTACTGCCCTACTGCAGCACAAGGTCAAAGAGGTTGGGTCACCTCTTCCCGTAGCTAGGGCACTCATTGCCATATTGCAACCTCTGAGCCTCTCTGGTTATGCACGACCATGCAGCCCAAAACAACAGTAACCTCCACGGACCTTGGGTGGCTTACCTAGTTCACCCGTATCTGATTTCAGGACAGTGTGGGAATCCTCTATGCCCTGTCTGATGAATAGGGAATTTTAAGAGCAAAGCAGCAACAGTCTGTGAGTAGATCCAAATCGGTTAAAAGGTTTATTTGACACACGCGTGTGGGGAAAGGCCTTAGTTTGTCAGGCCAATTCCAACCCCACTCTAGTTCACACAGTTTTTATAGCTCTACAGATCAGGATAAGAATTAAGCTTATATCATTGTTTCAGTTTAACAGAATTCAAAATCCTTATTCAGCATTATTTGTTCCTCACGTGTACATAGCAAGTGTCTGTGTTTAGATAAACTAAAAACTCCTAGAATGGCAATTTCTCCATTGACTTTAAGATAACAGCCAACACCCTACTAAAAAGAGTAACTTGCAACTTTGTCTCATGAACAAGTGACAAACCATGTGTTTAAGTGTATATGAAATGTTTTAAAGTCTCTAACTGTATTTAATAGAATGTATGTTTCTCTTTAATATAATATACATATAGAATATGATCGTATAGTGGAATATCTTTAACCTGTCATTTTAGATGTCATATCATTTACTTCTGGTAGTGTGCCTTATCTTATACCATATTTACTAAACAGTCTTACTTATGAGATACATTCCATAATATGTTTCATTAGGCATAATATTACACTGACAAAATGGAGCCTGAAAATGTGATTCAACAGGGATCATCATTTATCCCTACACACTGACACCCTAAGTATCCCAGGAAGAAGCAAATAGAGCTGCTCACACTGTATTCTGAGACCTGAATTGATAAGGATCCATAATTCTTTCACGCCCCACACATCCCAACTCTCTTTCATTTCCACACCCCTTTTCTAAAGCACGCCCTTGTGCCATGCTTGACCTCAGGCCCAGATCACTGTGCAATAGATGTAACAGCAGTACAAAAACAAAAAAAACATATGGAACTCCATAACAAGTTGGAACAATGGATATACATTTCATGGTATATACAGGGCACAAAATACTTAAAACAGATTTCTAACATAGAACAATAATCTTGCCATAAGACAGTCAAAACAGTCAATTACAAGTTACAACAATTCAATATAATTGATTTACACATAATAACAGGGATCAGGCAAATCCACCCACTACAGGGATGCCTACAATGCAGATGGTAGTGCAAGCCTTCAGCACCTGGACACCCCAGCATGGCCTTGTCCATAAGAGTATGTGGTGTCTATACTTGAACTCCTTATAACAAGGCTGAAAGCCGTAGGTAGTAAAACTATCTCCTTCAAGGGAGCAAAAGGGTTTCAGCACCTTCAAGAACTCCCACACCACCTTGTTGTATATTTCCTGCCATTTCTTCTCAATAGTGCAGAAAAGTTCCTTGAAAACTTATGGGAATTCCAATTTGAAGTAATCTCAGATCAAAAAGGTTTTTACGGCAGCAGAACCACCAGCCAATAGAAAACTGTTGGGCGGAGCTAGCTGTCATGGCAGCTTAGTGAATAGACCCCATATATGTTGTATGCTCTGCACACAAATGATGCAGTGCATGCAATCACACATAACTTTTAATTTAATAACACATACATTTCAGCACAAAGGACACGAAGGAAGATTTTTGAAAAATGAATCCCTTTCATTACTTATGCCCTTTTTGCACATAGATTATAGTCAGAGAAGCTAACACTTTAACCTTGTTTTAAATAATCACTTATTTAAAACCAGCAACTGTTGAGACAATGCACGCTTTGGTCAGGACTATGTAACTTTCAACATACTGTAGCCTCACAATACAGGAGTGAGAATTACCGTATGTAACATGCAAATTAGGTGTTGTTGGTCAGCCTGCATGTGTGCCCATTTGTGGTCAGAGGTATGTGTCTCTGTTGGTGGTCAGTCCTGTGAGCCCCCTTATTGGTGGTCAGTCCTATGTGCCCTTTTATTGGTGGTCAGTCTGTGTGCCCTATTATTGGTGGCCAGTCCTGTGTGCATTGATGGTCGGGGAGCAGTGAATATCCTTCCACCAAGTGCTGCCTGAATACAACAGAGTCACTCTCCCAGTGAAGGGTAAATACTTTGTTAGGTCTCACTAGACCTGGGGTTCCATGCAGGTGATCCAGGAAGAGTTCCCCTGGTGTCTGGATCTAGCAACATTTATGCACTGTAGCATGAACCTCTTACTACCAAACCTAAAGAGGGGTTCTCAAAACACTGATCCAAATAATATATATCTATAAATGAGGTCTAAGGGGCATATTTATAAAGCAGTGAATGTGATGTTAACTAATTATTCACTGCAAGTATATCTTCCTACAGCATGCATTTTAAATTACATGGAAACTGGTGAATGTTTGATGAATGGTTCATTCACCGCTTTATAAATATGTCCCTAGAGGAAATTAACTGTATATTTATAAATATATTTAGAAGTGTCATTGTGGAGACAGTGGGAATGATAAGATAGGATGGGTGCATAGTAACAGGGTCCTGGTCCACAATTTGCACTTGGCCCCCAGTAGCTTTACCACTGGCATTTACCTATTTTTGTATACCTGTAACTCGCCAGGTCCAGTCTCTTCTGCAGCAGCTGCTGGCTGTCACTGACACAGCTCAGCAGCGAATGTG